AGGCTAAGCTTAACATTCCTGTCACATTTAAGAGTGAAGATATATAAAATACATGATAACGTCATAGAGTAATAACAATTGCATTCTTTTCAATTAATAAATGCATCGCATCTAAATTGAATACCACACTCCCTACCTGGGCTACCTACCCGTCGTGTTAATTTCATCCAAGTTGGAAAAACAACAAATTCAGTCTGAAATGAATGTTATTCAGGGTATTCTCAGCGGATTACATTAGAAATTATAAGTTAAATGAATTTAAGAATGTTGGATGTAACATGAGCCGCTGTATTGGCTCCACTGTAGTTTGCACTTCACTTGAGTTCCTGCAGAGAAGAAGTGATGTTCATGGCAAGCAACTTTTGACATCATTGAAGTTGGTTGGCGATAAATCCTTGTTTATCGGTCCCTCCCGAGCAGAAATCCTCCCGGAAAACAAGCAAAAATATAAAACAACGCCGAGTGCCATCAATAAAGTGATGGGCGCTATTGTATGAGGTCGCTACTAAAGCTTGACATGAAATAACGTTCCTGCTAGCGGCCCCGACTAACCAAGTATCTTAAATCTCACTACAGATTTGGCACAAGAGGGAATCGAAATCTATCATCGGTAAGTAAATCAAATAGCGAACTAAATTGCTATTCACGACAGTATATGACTTATTAAATTGGGACATGGAAGAGTTAGACGTAAGTCGGCCAATGGTATCGGTTTCTTCATGATTTGTGATTCGTTTTAGCCAGTGAGAAGAGGAAGCCAGTCTCTGATTGGCTGTCGATAGCGCAATAGCAGCGCATTATTCTCGCGACTTCTCCGCTACGCACGATCGCTGGTCGTAAGAAGTTAGTTATTGGCGAGCAAAAAAGCTATTCCAAAGAAGGAAAATCAAATGCATTAACTAATAAACTAAAACTGATGTCTCGCTGGCAAATAATTGATTTACAGAAAGTACAAATCACGAATTAACCTTATTTACGTCAGTTGGAAAAAGAATCTTAGCAGAGCCTAGTCACTGTGAAGCTGAGCAATCCTTAGAATCAAGTGTTAACATTTTTTTATACAATCTCTAGTTACACGAGGCGTAAACACTTGGAAAATTCGGAGCGAAACAGTCGCTTAAGTAAAGAGTTCTGGCAATTTTCTAAGTGGTTTTTTATTAGGTTGAAGAATGGTTTTGTTGCCGCTACTCGCCCATTGCCGAGCCAAATGCTTCCTGGCTCGGTCTTAGTCAATAAACATAAATGTCACTCCATTTTATTCAACTAATCTGTTATAGAGACTACTCAGTTATTTTAATATAGAACAAAATGCAGTGCTACTTTTAGGTTCAGGGTTGATATTTTTTTATTAGAAGTAATTAAATCCAAAACTGAATGCCAATAGGTTCAATTCTATGCCAGCCTATGCAAACAAACAAGCCTTTACATGCAACTCCTCGCGCCTTCTCAAAAGATGAGTAATGAGTGCGATATCGCACATAACAGTTATGCAACATTTAAAAACCTCATAAAAACATCATGAAATTCTTTTCCGTTTTCGCCATGAAATTTTTTAATAATACGGTACTTCCAAATGTTGTAATTTGCAATGAATTTCCATATTTATCCATATCCATTTCCATATTTAAAAGGAGCCCTCATCGTTGATTTCTCAGCTAGGTTGGGAGTGTATAAAATGAATGATTAGAATGACTACGTAAATTAAAATTATTAAGAACAAGTATCAGGAGCATCGATGTTAAAGAAATAAATTAATTATAGCAAATACAGGAAGGAAACTATGTGGAGTGAAATCATAAGAGAAAATGAAAAACGTAGTCGGAAAGACTGTAAATAAAGGCAAGGAGAGTGGAGAAAATAATTTAAAATCGTTAAGAAAAAGTAGGGAAGTATGTGGAGTGAAGTGCGGCAGTAAATAAGATACTTGAAAATAAAGAGCATCAGAATGTGAGGGAAGATAATTATTGGAAATGGAAGTGAAGGCATAGATTTCAGAGCAGAGAAGTGAAGGAGAGTGATTGGAGAAAAATCGTTGAAGGGAATGAAATGGAAGCTGGAAAGTAACATCATAGAAGTGAAGGGAGTGAGCTGCCAGTATATATAGTCAAATGGGGTAAGACAGGATCGTAGCCTTCATGGGGTAAGAAAGGACCGGCCCATTGCATGCATTCTAATTGTACTGAATTTAATTTGACAAAAGAATATGTTAGAGCAATCATTGCCTGTCATTTCAGTGTTTGTTTCAATCCTCTTCTGAAAATAATTAATTTTTGGTTAATTTTCAACGAAAACCTATGTTGAGAAGGGTCACAAAATAGTTAACCCTATTTGGGAAATAAGCTGTGTCTGGTTACAAAAAATTTTTTGGCCAGGTTTTTGGACGTAGGCAGGTAACCTCAAGTAACAAGCAACTTTTGAGACATACTAGGCATTCCTACCTGCTATCATCACTGCCTGATAACTATTCTAAAATGGGGTAAAAAAGGACCGGACATGGGGTAAGACAGGACCCCTAAATGATCCTGTTTTACCCCACAAGTGGTCCTATCTTACCCCACAAATGGTCCTGTCTTACCGTACAATTGCCACAAACGGTCCTCTTTTACCCCATAGTTTATCAAAAATAGCTTTTAGATGAATATATCATTGTGCATAAGTATACATGGAGTATTTTGGTCAAAATATTCATCTTCTGCTTAAAATAACCATTCTAACTTGTTAGCTTTTTTAATCAGATAAATTTAGCATACTATTGTGAATTGCATCATGGGGATGGAGAAAATAGGGATGTATCTTCCCATTAGTGAGCTGCAGAACAATGTGCAAGAGTGGTTGGGGGAAAAATCATTGAGTGAAACATAAAAAATAATTATCACAATTTTGTGAGAGGGCATGGGCTGTGTTTGAAGAAGTGCACCACAAATGCAGTTAGCAAGAAAACGCATGAAGTCCGACTCTTAAGTTATTATCTATTGGTTTTATTACCAATTTGATCAATTTTCAGACGAGGACACTAATGGAATATACATGTAGCATTTGGCAGTGCTCTACAATGAATCAAAGCCAACCCACTATTACTATGCTTAACAAAGTTTTCTCGTGGCAAAAACTCCAATGTGACTGATATTAGAGTTGACTTCCTGCAACACAAAACAGTAACAAGTGGTTGTTTAATCAAATAATGTGTTTCTAGATGGATAATATTGAATATCATATTTATATTTTTACTAAAAACCTTGTAACAGAAGAATTACCTGTTGGTCCTTTCTTACCCCAGCCTGGTCCCATCTTACCCCAATGGGGTAAGATGGGATCAGCTCACTTTTTTTGATCTGTGCAGAAAACTGTGTTGTATGCAAAAAGTCCGAGTTGTAGCTTTGAAGCCCATTGCATAACCACACCTTGTGATAAATTTAGGATTTTTTAGTTATTCATGGTATAGATGCTACATGCCTGTTAGTGATTTCGGTCCTGTCTTACCCCATCTGACTATATATATGTGTGAGAAGTGAGGAAAAGTGAGGGTGAATGAGTGCAGTAAGGGGAAGGGTAAGGACAGTCAAGTGAAGTAAGGGCACTGAAGGGCAGTGACGGAAGTGAGGACAGTCAAGGGAAGTAAGGGCAGTGAAGGGCAGTGGTGAAAGTGAGGACAGTCAAGGGAAGTAAGGGCAGTGAAGGGCAGTGACGGAAGTGAGGACAGCCAAGGGAAGTAAGGGCACTGAAGGGCAGTGACGGAAGTGAGGACAGTCAAGGGAAGTAAGGGCAGTGAAGGGCAGTGACGGAAGTGAGGACAGTCAAGGGAAGTAAGGGCAGTGAAGGGCAGTGACGGAAGTGAGGACAGTCAAGGGAAGTAAGGGTACTGAAGTAAGGGCACTGAAGGGCAGTGACGGAAGTGAGGACAGTCAGGGGAAGTAAGGGAGGAGAAGTAAGGGCAGTGAAGGGCAGTGACGGAAGTGAGGACAGTCAAGGGAAGTAAGGGCAGTGAGAGCAATGAGGGAAGGTGAGGGAAGACTTAGAGGCTCGTAGATCAGCAGGAGACGCCTCATATAGCGCCTCCCTCTGACACCTCGTAAAGTGCCAGACTTACTGCAGCCACGCAGTGGACCTTCGCGTCTCTCTTCCTTATCGAACTCTTCCGTTATAAAAATTGCCCGAAAAATATATAATATTGATATTTTACGAATTTTCTTGCAAAACATTATTGTAGTATGACAATTACTTACGTTTTTACTCAAACACTGTGATTGTTTGATATTTGTTAGTAAAATATACGGAAAAAATATTGAACCGCAACCCTGATAAATAATACGATCGGTAGCCTTCATAGTCGAGCAGCAATTTTTTAAACGGAGAAAACTCTACGGTTTTCGCACCGAATATTCAACTATCTATGTGAAATGCCATACCGTAATAATAAAATTGCTGTAATGAAATATTTCGAGAATCAAAGGCACACTATTAATGATATTTTTTATTTACATTCGATGTTTTACATGATATTAAAATTTTTAAAACCCTTAAAGGAAGTTAGTTTTATCAGCTGATCTATGGCGTTTTGAATATTTTTACCTGACATCTAAATATAAAATTCAACTTGCTGTTATTTGGATAGTTTTTCACTTTAACTTTATATTAAAATACAAATATCACCTTAATATAAAAATAATATATATAATGATAGATATATATAATGTTCATAGCATTGCATTGGCGCAGAACGTATGACAAACCAAATAAAAATGACATAAATTATACAGTGAATAAAGATTTTATTTGTGTAATTGTCAACTTGATTTATTTATTATTGTACTACAAAATTTTGCATTAATTTTTGATACAATTAAAGTTCAGTATACAGTAATGCATATATTTTACCATTCAATGAGCCATACAGAATTTAGGCCTCTAAGCCTTGCTATATTAAGAGGCCTGTATTGACACTGAATCTCACAAGATGTTCCCTCACATGCCGAGCTCCCTCACATGCTGCGCTCCCTCACATGCTGCGCTCCCTCACATGCAGCGCTCCCTCACATGCAGCGCTCCCTCACATGCAGCGCTCCCTCACATGCAGCGCTCCCTCACATGCAGCGCTCCCTCACATGCGGCGCTCCCTCACATGCTGCGCTCCCTCACATGCTGCGCTTCCTCACATGCAGCGCTCCCTCACATGCGGCGCTCCCTCACATGCGGCGCTCCCTCACATGCGGCGCTCCCTCACATGCGGCGCTCCCTCACATAAAGCGCTCCCTCACATGCGGCGCTCCCTCACATGCGGCGCTCCCTCACATACAGCGCTCCCTCACATGCTGCGCTCCCTCACATGCGGCGCTCCCTCACATGCAGCGCTCCCTCACATGCGGTGCTCCCTCACATGCGGCGCTCCCTCACATGCGACGCTCCCTCACATGCTGCGCTCCCTCACATGCGGCGCTCCCTCACATAAAGCGCTCCCTCACATGAGGCGTCATGCCTCCGTAGATTTATCGTCGCAGGTGGTCAGTGTCGAGACAATTTGCCGCTTGCTCATATTGGCCATTTTGAGAAATTTTCTCCAACCAGGATATTTAATATTAACATTATAAAAATTTCCTTACTATCTTGTAACTTCATTTAGAAATGAAATGAAATAAAAGTTATAGCATAATGTAACATGGAATAAAATTAACGTAAGTGGTTTTACCTTAATTTTTAAAAAAAATTATATTTCTGCAAATTACACGCTCGGAAACGTACTAGCTTTTGTTTCCAATTAGAGCTTCTTTGCTTGAGTGAAGCAATGAATTCGGTAAATGGCAGAATTTGCGTGTTTTATTTTCTTCTATACTTTTGAGCGACAATTTAAGGAACAGAGTTTGTATAAATTTTAAATTTTAATACAGTTTTGAGATAGGTATGCAATCGTTTAAAAGTTATTATGATTTTTACGATGTTAATTGATTGCCATATTTAATTTCTGCCTCACCTTTCGTGCAGGTATTTCCTCCCCCTCACCCCCGCTACCTTTCTCCCACTCTGCGGGTCTCCCCACACTGGCTCTCCCCAATCCCCTCTCCACTACTAGTCACTCCCCATCCCATCACCCCCACCAGTCACCCTAAGTCCCCTCACCCTAATCTCCGCACCCCTCCCATCCCCTCACCCAAATCCCTTCGCCTACCCTCACATTTTCCAGCGCTCCACAGACGCGAGTTACGAGTTCCGCAGTTCATATTTAACGGACGCGTATTTTTAATGCATTTTCTCATTTATGGAAAAAATGCACTATTGTGCTCGCCATGTCCGTCTGTCTGTCTGTCCGTCTGTCCGTCCGTCCGTGACCTCAAGTTTTTCCTCACATGCGGCGCTCCCTCACATGCTGCGCTCCCTCACATGCTGCGCTTCCTCACATGCAGCGCTCCCTCACATGCGGTGCTCCCTCACATGCGGCGCTCCCTCACATGCGACGCTCCCTCACATGCAGCGCTCCCTCACATGCGACGCTCCCTCACATGCGGCGCTCCCTCACATACAGCGCTCCCTCACATGCTGCGCTCCCTCACATGCGGCGCTCCCTCACATGCAGCGCTCCCTCACATGCGGTGCTCCCTCACATGCGGCGCTCCCTCACATGCGACGCTCCCTCACATGCTGCGCTCCCTCACATGCGGCGCTCCCTCACATAAAGCGCTCCCTCACATGAGGCGTCATGCCTCCGTAGATTTATCGTCGCAGGTGGTCAGTGTCGAGACAATTTGCCGCTTGCTCATATTGGCCATTTTGAGAAATTTTCTCCAACCAGGATATTTAATATTAACATTATAAAAATTTCCTTACTATCTTGTAACTTCATTTAGAAATGAAATGAAATAAAAGTTATAGCATAATGTAACATGGAATAAAATTAACGTAAGTGGTTTTACCTTAATTTTTAAAAAAAATTATATTTCTGCAAATTACACGCTCGGAAACGTACTAGCTTTTGTTTCCAATTAGAGCTTCTTTGCTTGAGTGAAGCAATGAATTCGGTAAATGGCAGAATTTGCGTGTTTTATTTTCTTCTATACTTTTGAGCGACAATTTAAGGAACAGAGTTTGTATAAATTTTAAATTTTAATACAGTTTTGAGATAGGTATGCAATCGTTTAAAAGTTATTATGATTTTTACGATGTTAATTGATTGCCATATTTAATTTCTGCCTCACCTTTCGTGCAGGTATTTCCTCCCCCTCACCCCCGCTACCTTTCTCCCACTCTGCGGGTCTCCCCACACTGGCTCTCCCCAATCCCCTCTCCACTACTAGTCACTCCCCATCCCATCACCCCCACCAGTCACCCTAAGTCCCCTCACCCTAATCTCCGCACCCCTCCCATCCCCTCACCCAAATCCCTTCGCCTACCCTCACATTTTCCAGCGCTCCACAGACGCGAGTTACGAGTTCCGCAGTTCATATTTAACGGACGCGTATTTTTAATGCATTTTCTCATTTATGGAAAAAATGCACTATTGTGCTCGCCATGTCCGTCTGTCTGTCTGTCCGTCTGTCCGTCCGTCCGTGACCTCAAGTTTTCGTCGACGAGAAAATGCGCTCTCTGTCACTCACTGCAGTGAGTACTGAGTTATATATTTTTCCATGCCGCCAATGATTTGTCCAGATTATTAAAGCAGCCAAGTTTTTTATCGGTTCTTAAATAAATAATATTAATTGTGCTTAATGGTGGCACCCCGCGGTCCTGTCACCGCTGGCAGGTAATGGTGGCACCCCCGGTCAAATGACGGCCTTTTTTTCTTGTTTACGTATGATTTTTCAAAATCAGTGATGAATGAAAGCTGATGAAAACTGGGGACTGTTTCAGTTATAACCGCGAGTGTGGAAGAAAAAGACGAGCTTCAAGTCTACATGACATAAATGGTGAATGTATGTACATTGCGCAATATTTAGTGTTCACCTTTAAGGCTTAGTCGTTGTGCACCTAACAAATCACACACCGATTTCTTAGACATGTTTACCTTTAATAATAAAGTGTGAGTAAAGTAGAAGGTCACAAAAAGTGTGTTGAATCACGTCTAAGTGATTCAACGTGATGGCGCTGATCAATGTGTTTGACTCGATTTGGCTCAATTTAAACCAAATCTTGGGCTCTACTTTGCTCAATTCAAACCAAATCTAGACAAAGAACATCATGCATCGCCTGCAGCCGTGTAAAGGTTGTCAAGACGCTCCTCGGCAACCATTTTTGCCAGATTTGTCTGGTGTCCATTCAATACTTGGAGCTCGCGTACCATGCCAAAATGAGCTCTACCAAACCACTGCTTAAAGGCCACATTGGCGGTCACTCGAGGCACTTAGTGAAGGAATAAATCAGAACGAAGGGCGGTATTATGGCAAAGAAAAACAGCTTGGGGATGGAGCAATTTTGAGGCAGCTCCTTGTGTTTTCTATTGGATAGGCGGCAACGGCAAATCAATATAGGTGTTGCTGTCTTCTATCGCTGCACGAGCAGAGCTTTCATTCGCTCTCACAGGCCTCGGTCGGCTGGTCTGGATTGCCTCTCGCAAAGAGGTGTCATCGAAATGAAATTAGGCTCACGCTCTGCTACAAATTCGAATTGATTTCCGCACCTCTCCATCTGAAGAGACTCGTTTGCCGGCGTTTTTGTGGGATGCACTGCTTCGGTGAGGGGGAGCTTGGCTGGGTTTGTATCGAACATTGATGGTTGCAACGTCGTATCTTTAAAGCAGCTTATAACTTCCGGCTCTTGTAAGTTGAATACGAAGCTTGGTACATCAAAGAAGATACGATTTGACATTTTATCGTGGAATTGCGCAGCTGAGAAAAGTGGCATTAACTTCTCATTCTCGACAAATGTTCCTTCTAGAAAATGCACAAAAAATTCAGATATATATAAGAAAAAACAGAACTAACGTTGGAAATTATTTTCACTACAATTTTTAATTTCACAAATGTAAGCCAGCCAATAACCTGGATACTTACCAAGTATCACACAATAGTTGAAAATCTGATATTCTAGAGAAAAAAAATTAATATTGGAACATTGAAGACTGCAAACTATTCGCTTCTGCCTCATCAAAACTAAATCCATAACAAACATTAATTTTTTAGAGGACTAACAGTATATTATCTCAAAACAGTTCTGGTAAAACCATCAACGTTCGAATTAAGCGATTGAAATCGAAACGATATCGCTTTCGGAAAAAAAGCCCAAGTATCTTCGATACATTTATGGTTACTGACGAAATTCGCGATTGCACTAATATAATAAATAATAATATTAAAATAATAAAAAAGCGGCATCTAGGTAACGTGAAACTCTTAAAACAATCCTGAAATTTATGCAAGGATCTCACTTTGGGGGCTCGTAGAAATGGACCCGCAAAACCTTTCGTGTTTATTAGCAAAGCTCGAAGAACGAGACGTTCGGACAGAAAAAAGCACGGAGGAGCGACGCCAGACGGTCAGCAGCGCAATCAATCTGTTGTTGTCGACGCCTCGTAAGGCCTATTGATTGCATTTCAGTGGCTGAGTGCTGCCTCTACGATGTCCAGGATTGCTTCTTTCTGCATCTAAGTAGCTGAGTGCTGCCTCACCAATGTCCAGGATTGCTTCTTTCTGCATCTAAGAGCTGAGTGCTGCCTCACCGATGTCCAGGATTGCTTCTTTCTGCATCTCAGTGGCTGAGTGCTGCTTCACCGATGTCCAGGATTGCTTCTTTCTGCATCTCAGTGGCTGAGTGCTGCCTCACCAACGTCCAGGATTGCTTTTTTGCGCCTTTGAACTCCATAAACTCTGAACTCTGAACTGAGGCGTATCATTCTGCTATGTGGTATGTTCCGGCTACATGCCACCTCTAATGTCGAGTGCAGGTCACATGCCACTTCTTTCAGTGTCCGCCACATGCCACTTCCATCAGAGGCCGCCACATGCCACCTCCATGATTGGCCGCCACAGGCCACCTTCATCATTGACCGCCACACGCCACCTCCATCAGAGGCCGCCACTCCATCACGGTGGCCGCCGACTTATTGAGCTCCCACAAAAAATTGCGTCGGCGAAGTTACGAGCCGCTAACCGCAATACCGACAGCTTGGCGGCCGCGCCATATTGGAACACCATCGCCAGCTGGCCTCAGCGGTCATCGGCTAGCCTCCTCAGCGGACACTAGCAGGCCTCAGCGGTCACCAACTGGCCTAAGCGGCCATCAGCTGGCCTCAGCGGTCATCGGATAGCCTCCTCAGCGGTTACTAGCTGACTTCAGCGGTCACTAGCAGGCCTCAGCGGTCACTAGCAGGCCTCAGTGGTTAACAGCTGGCCTTAGCGGTCACTAGCAGGCTTCAGCGGTCATCAGATAGCCTCCTCAACGATCACCAGCAAGCCTAATAGGTCACCGGCCAGCCTCCTCAGCGGTACCAGCAGGCCTCAGCGGTCACCAGCAAGCCTAAGCGGTCCTCAGCTGGCCACAACATTCGTTTGATGGCCTCCGCCGTGGTGTGATGGCTTCAGCGGTCGACTGCTGTCCTTAGTGGTCGACTGAGGGCCTCAATGGTCGACTGCTGGCCTTAGTGGTCGACTGAGGGCCTCAGTGGTCGACTGCTGTCCTTAGTGGTCGACTGAGGGCCTCAATGGTCGACTGCTGGCCTTAGCGGCCGACTGAGGGCCTCAATGGTCGACTGCTGTCCTTAGTGGTCGACTGAAGGCCTCATTGGTCGTCTGAGGGCCTCAATCTGACATTCGTAGCTTCGCTGTGGTGTGGGCATTACTTATGGGCGGGAAGGCAAAAAGTCGCAATCGTTTTCAAATTCATTCACACTAATAATTAATGCAAGTGATACGAATTATTTTTCATTTGTAACGAAAATGTTTGCTTCAATCCTCACTGCCAGTAGACAATCCTTATTTTTTTCATTTTCTATCGTAACTTTCTTTAGTTCACTCTCATTTTCACTGTCAAGCATATCTTTTTGATAGTGAGGTGTCCGTGCATATAATTTGATAGTAAAGTGTCCGTGCATATAATTTGATAGTGAAGTGTCTGTATATATTATTTGATAGTGAGGTGTCCGTGTATATTATATGATAGTGAAGTGTCCGTGAGTGTCCGTGCATATAATTTGATAGTGAAGTGTCTGTATATATTATTTGATAGTGAAGTGTCCGTGCATATAATTTGATAGTGAAGTGTCCGCGCATATAATTTGATAGTGAGGTGTCTGTATATATTATTTGATAGTAATCGAAGCTGGGCAGCGCTACTTTGAAATGTAGCGCCGCTACCGCTACCGCTACATGCTCCAAATGTAGCGGGCGCTACCGCTACACCCACTAGATTGTAGTGGTCGCTACCGCTACCGCTACAGTAAAATGTAGCGCCGCTACATTAGCCGCTACAATGGCCAAAATTATTTTAAATATCTAAATATTTATTGTTCTGCTATTGGGATTTACTCATAAACATTTAATGATAATAAAACATTTTTAAAACATATCAATGCAACTTTATTGCAATTAACCTAACCGAACTAGTACGGGTTAGATACAGTAAATAAAAGTTAGTTATTTTAGTGTTTTACCTTCCCTACATGGATGTGAACTTTAATCTACCAATCTCAAAAATTATCCAAATATACTTATGAAAATCAGTCTTTTATTTGTATCTATATGTGGATAATTTTTGAGATTGTAGATTAAAGAAGACATCCATGTAATGAAGGTGAAACA